GGTGTTGCTGACTGGGCCCAGCCCCTGTTCCTGCCTCAGCTGAGCAGTAGCACCTATGGATGTTGGGGACGTGATTGGGAGTGAGGGGAGTTTCCGTAATAGTTCAGGTAGTTAGTTGCATTGTGTGAGCGGGGGGAGGGCGGTAAGGTTTGTTTGCAGTAAGTGAGTAAAGGGTCTTCCATGGCTTGTTGTGTCCGTCAGTGCTATTGTACACATTGTATGTCTATAATGATGTGTGTTTCATCTTGCGGATAATGATATGCATCACATGAGGGGATTGTGTCAGTTGTGACAGTTTGCATATTAGATGTAGTGAGGGGCCATGGGTTGTATCAGTGGATTTCAAGGGTCTGTTGTGTGTTGTGTGTTTATGAAGGGCCATGAACTGTGTCTACAGGTGATGAGGGTGTGTTTTGTGTGATATGAAGGAATGCTATTATCTGTTGGTGACTGTATGTGCTAAATGTCTTTGAGGGGTGAAAGGGTGGGCTGTGTCTGTGAGTGATGAAAGGGGATTGTGTGTCCATGAGCGGGTGCCGATGGCAGAAAAGTCAGACATAATCCAGTTCTTCAGACCCAGAACTTGACCAGCCTCAAGGATTCTGAGGGGCAGCTAGACAAAACAGCCAAACCTGACCCTCTCACCGAAGCCACCAGCCTCTTACCTGAGAAACAGCAGAGACAGAGGTCTAGTAGATGACAAAGAAGCTGAGGAGATGGCGGGGGCTGCTGAGAGCATGTTTCCTGGAAGGCTTCTCAGGGAACTCGGGAAGCTGCGCAGGGAGGGAATGGGAAGGAGGCAGAAGGCAGGCCCGGACCTAGGTGCGTGACTCACTTTCCTCTATGCTCCAATCCCAGCTCGGCTGTGACAGGATAAAAAATTAAGGAGCTCCACCCTGCTAGCTCTGCTGGATGAGCAGGGCATAAGTCCAGGAAGCCAGCTCCTTGGGCAGGGATCCAACCCCAAGGCCACTGGTAATGCTCTCTTCCAGCCAGGGAGTCTCTCTGCGTATCAGCTCAACCAACAACACAGGGTTGGTCCCATCCAATGCACAGCCCACCTAGGAGGAAGGGCTGGGCCTAGGCTGGCACAGGAAGGAGAAACTGGGTCCCTAGGTCAGATGACCTAGGGAAGGTTTCAGTCCTGCCCACAGGAGCCCAAGCTTCAGTGAGTGTAGTCCCAACTCCAGTGAGCCCCCAGCTGATGGAAAAGACCCAAAGCTGCTTAAGAAGATACCCAGCCAGTCTTGCCCACAGGAGACCACCTTCCAATGGGTGTGACATAACCTGTCCACAGGTGCCCCCAACCAGGGAAGAGATAGCCCTGCCTTCAGGGATGCCAGTCTACTGAGAAACAGAAAATTCTGCCTTCTGAAGCCACCCCAGTCTGAGGGGGGCACGTAACCACCCCTACCTTCATGGGCCCCAGTCTGAGGGAGAAGATAAAACCCTGCAGTGAGAGGCCCAGTGCTGACCGCGACAGAGAACCATAGCTCTGTCCAAAACCTTGGACTGCACCTAGAGCGCCAACTTTGGACATTCTGAGCTGAAAGTTACTCCTTATCTCCCCTCCACCCCTCAGCCCAAAATAGGAAGCAAAGGTGTTAGACCACAGAGGAAAGCAAACTGAACCTTAGCATAGGTGGACGTTCTCCTGTATCAACTCTAAGAGTCCACTGGTTTGACAGCAGCCTCTGGTCTTCAGCCCAAGCCCTCCACTGAACATCTCTGAGCCTCATATACTCCCAATGCTACACCTGTTGTGATGCCTAGGACATAAGAGAAACTCAGTAAATAAAAATCACTTTATTTACCCAAGTGCCTGCCTAGTGTCCCAGAATTGGGACGTCAAGTCCTTTCTCCACACCAGTTGGAGACCTTCTTAAAAATGAAGGTTTAAAAAAAGCAGTTTCTCTTCCACTTGATAATGGGGACCACCAGTTAAATGAATTTTTAACAAGCCCCCAGGTGATGCCAAGGCAGGTGGCCCATGGAGCAGAGCAGGACTAGAGGGACTCCAGAGGAAGCCGGTGACTGGGGAAGGAGAGTACAATTCTAGCTATGCTCACCTACCCCCACCATAAATAAGGGCTGCCCACTGAGCCACTGAGCCACAAGGTACGAAGTGAGGATACTGGCATCTCTGACAGAACCCCAGGCTCTACCCATCCCCTGCCCAATGTTTCAGCGCTGGCTGAGTTAACCCAGGAGCTTGTTAAAGATCCAGCTGTCTATCTCCCCACCACGTACACCCTACAAACCCCACGCTACCATGCTAGAAGAGGGGGGAGTACCCACCATGCACTCCACTGTGCCAGGCACCTGATTTCCTGATCTCTTTAATACTCAGAGAAACACCTGATAAGGAAGCTGAGGCTCTGAGAAGTTTCAAGACTTCGGTCTGTCTGACCTCAAACGCAGGCCTGTTGCCGCCATTTGCAAGGTTTGTTCTTTTCACAATAAACAGAATCTCACTAGAGTTTAAGAACCAGAATGGAGGAGGTACTTTTACCAAAGAGGAGGAAGCTAAAGCTGAGAGAGGAGAAATGACTTGCCAGGATTACACAGCTAGTGAGCAGCAGATTCTTGATGGTGTGACTCCGAGCCCCTTCTGTGCCTGCCTATTGCACAATACTCAGGGTCAGACGTCCCCATGATTCCCATTTCCAATAATGATAAGCGCTTGATAATGTCCAGCATGGGGGCAGATGAATCAGATGTGCTAGGATGGCTATGGGGGTTAGGGGACGGGGGAGGAAAATGCAGAAGGGAAAACTCTGCTTCACTGAGGTTCCACCCTCAGGGCAGGCCCAGATTCATCTGTAGCCTCCCTCCATTTATTCTCACTTCCACTGGGGCTCCAGGGGCCTGGCTGTGGCTGCCCCAGGCAGTCGCTGAGTTACCACAGCCACACCACAGCCACAGGGGTGAAGAGGTTTGGGTGACTGGATTGCCAAAGGCACTGTCTGATGCTTTAAGTGATTAATTTCCACTTTACATATAAGGAAGCAGAGGCTGAGTTGAAGCCTCTGACCCAAATGCCAGGATTCTAATCCTACTTGTCTGCCTCCTTCCACTACACCTCTGCCTGCAGTAGTCCCACAGGCAGCAGTAGGATGCCCAATGAGAGGTGTAGGGGAGCTGGCTCTCTGCTCCATCATTCATAGCAAACCACAGGGAGAGGTGTGAAGTGGCTCCTCCAGCCTTTTAGTCCCTCTGGGCCCTGGCACTCCTCCAGAGGGCCTTTCCTGCTGGAAGTCTCTTAACCTGTTCACAAATGAAGGGACTGGAAAAGCTGCCACACACACAGCCACAGCCCCACCCTGGAGGCATCTTGACTAATGCTGCCTCAATGCCAAGCCCAGCGCACACCCTTCTCTCTGGCCAAGTCATCCCTGAAAGATTGCTCTGAGCAGCATTGGGAATGGGCTGGGGCTGCTGCTGATCTCTGGAGTCGGTCTGTGGCTAAAAAATGTGCCAGGAAAGGAAATGAGAAGGCTTCGATCCATCTGGGAAATTAGGATGTCATGGCTGAAACCCAAACTCCTTAATGTGACTTTCTGACCTCCCTGGTTTCACCTCAACCCAATCCTATGCTCCAGGCATGACAGGATGTGCAGTTCCATGAATGGGCTGTGCTTTTATCTTCAAGTCTTTGTACATGCTATTTCCTTTGACTAGAACATCTTTCCCTCAAGTTCTACCCCACCTGTGCCACTTAGTCATCCCCAGCAATCAATTCCCTTCCTTTTGCCAACAAAACTTAACTGGAAACAGTAGGTACCCAGCTCCGTGAGACAAGTCCTGGTCTATGGCCTGCCCATTCTTATTCACTATTTTCCAAATTTATAGTTAGAGGTGGCCATGTAACCATCTTCTGGCCAATAACATTTTGGGGGAAATTTTTGACTTTCTGGATGACTTCTTTCTACTTAGCAATCAGTATGAAGTGTGATGCAGCCGCAACCTTCTGAGACTACGCAACTATGAGATGACAAGTCCTCCGGAGAGGTTGGAGGGGCAGCACACTAAGAGTCTGGTTCCCCTGTGGTACTAGTGAGCCCATGAACAATGCTGGAGAGTACCTGCCACCAGACTTCTTACGTGAGCAAATACTCCCCTATTTGTTTATGCTAGGTATTTCTAACAGATGCATCAACCTCTGGGTTCTAACCATCACAGGACCTCTGAGGAAGAGGTGGGTGTGTACACACACATGCTGGAGTGAGGCAGTGTCACTCTGTCTGGCTAGAAGAGACAGCTGCTGCTCCCAGCACAGGACAGTCTGTATTACCTCATGACATGTATCACTCTGCAAGGTAACAAAACAGTTCCCTCTTTCTGCTTTGTTCCAGTTTTAACTAGAGCCAACCCGCTTCTACCCGCTGTGCTCTAATTCATCTGTAGTTTGGATACACTCAGTTGCACTTGGACAGTAAGACCCTCAAGCTTCCCTCCCATAGGGAAGCAAATCGAAGTTGCAGTATCTCTTGATACTACAAAGACATAGTGCCATGTGATTATTGTTCCTCTTGTCTACAAGACACTATAAAAAGTCTTGTTTCAAGTCACCCAGTTTCTTATATCTTCACATTTTAAGTGTCATCTTTCTATTTCTCACCTTATGTCCCTCTCAAGGGCTAATCCAGTCTCTCACAGCCAGCAGGACATCTGAGTATATACAATAAGCTGTGTACTTTCAAGCATTATTTCGTTTAATCTTCAAAATAATCAGTATCTTCATTGAACACAGAAATATTATTAGCAACACCCACTGAGCACTGTGGAACTGCCTTATATATGTCATGGCTTCTCCTCCCTAAAAACTGCTACAGTAACCTATACTCCCATTTTGTAGATAAAGAAACTAAAGTTTAGCAAATAGGTGGTAGGGAGCCGGAACTCCAAAGCATTTCAGGGTAAGACAAAGCCAGACAAGGGACCCAACCAGACAAGGGACCCTACCTTGGGATAATATCTAAAGAAAACTACATCAATGGTTAGGGTATAAAAATTTATTACACATACAGAATATTACCACTAATGAACGCAGACAGGCTAGGACACAATGGTACTGGGATGGGATGGAGGACTGCTAGCTCTTTGGAAAGTGAAGAGGTTTGGGTGGCTCAGAGCTTCATGCCACAAGGACTGGTCAGATGGGAGAGCACATGCCAAACGCCACAGGATATCAGGGCATCCAGCGACTGCTTGGCACCCACCGCCTTCCCTGTCTGATCTGGGGCTTCCAAGGATGCCACACCCAGAAGCAAGACACTGAAGCAAAGGGGCTTCCTAAGGTGGCCCAGGCTTGTCTCTGAAGTCACGGCAACACCATTTTAAGCAATATGTTTAAATGGATGATTTCCACAAGCTATACACGAAGTTTCTAATCATCACAATTCAGTGAAGTACAAAACATTAAGTTACAGGCTATGGGAAGAGAAGGCAGCACCAATGGTGGCACCTTCCAATCCTGGTTGGCCTAGGGGTAGGGGGTGGGGGAAGGTTTCTTTTTAAACCGAGCCCCTCATTTCAATGTACAAAAGAATTACTCTGATTGATATTAAATTGTATTGAAAACAAAATGGACTAAAAAGCAAATACTACTCTATGTTGGGGTGGAAACGGAAGGAAAGAATGAGTCCTTCAAAGCAAGAGGAGAGACAGTTGGGGGAAGGTTCTGTGGCCGTGACCCGAGGTGGTCACTCACGCTGCTCCATTTTTACTTTCGGTGGTCTCAGGAAGGTCCGGTTTTTCTTCTCTTTCTTCCCCTTTGTATTTGCTTGGAAGTTTCGCCAGCTGTCCACACGACCATCTCGACTTTCCTAAGCACAAAACAAGTTTGAGGAGTAGGAAACTAGTTAATGAGAGGAAGGGCCTGAACATGCTCTGCCATTCCCCCTGTAGCCCAGCTCAACCCTATGGAAAAATCTAAGAACAACAGAGCAGAGTTTTTCTTCCACGCCCATGGACCCAGGAAAAGTGTCCTAGAAGGCAGGATAAGCCAGGCGCAGGTTGGAAGGGGACAAAATGAGTAATATCGGTCACAACAATGAGGCCACCATTTGATGGGACTTCTGGGCTAGACATTTAGCATTTGCCATTTCCCATTCTCGCAAAAAGCTGACAGTGTGTGTCACGCCACAGCATGTCACAAATGACAACACCAAGTTCAGAGAGGTTAAATCATGTTCTTGAAGCCACACAGCTAGTAAGCAGCACCCCACCCTTTCCACTGCAGCTTTCTTTCTCCCCACCAAAACCTGGATGGAGGCTCGAAGCCAGCACAAAGCTTAGGCAGTTGTGCTGAGAGGGCCACTAAGATTTCTTCCTCCTTATCGTGGGGCCTATTCCTTTTCTTTTCATACACGCAGTGGGACAGAAACAAAGTCATCAGCTCTGGGTAGCCAATCCCTACTCTGAGACCTAAAAGTTATAGAAGAAAAGACCAAATATTACTTAATTCAGAATACTAGCTGAGCACCTGAAGGATGTAACAAGGGTGTCATAGAAAAATCAAGTTCAAAAGTCATAAGTCTCTCTGGAGGCAGGACACTGGGGTCACAAGAACCTCAGTTTCTACTAAAAGATCTCTAAGTAGGGCACAACTCCATGTTTGCTCCTTAAATTAAATGCACAAATCATTTTTCTTGAACACACTTGGCAGCTATGCCCACCACAACCTCTAAAACACCATTCAGGGATCTTCATGCGATGGCTACAGAGCTTAGAGGTGGCTGAGCCAGAACCAGACTCATTCTCCAAAGCTCCGGCTCTTCCCCACATATCCCATTTCCCTGCCCGCCCCAGTGAGTCCTGGGAATGCCCCAAGCACCAAGTTTCTATGCTAGGAAGTTTTCATACTCTGGAATAAGAATCCCTAGCCACCTTAGAAATTTACCTCAAAGTTTTTCTGCCATTCCCTTTCCCGTTTGGCTTTTTCTTGAGCTTCAATCTCTTCTTCCCTCTGTCGCTTCCTAGGAGGAAAAGGAGACCATAGTATTTTATACTTAAGAGATTGTGTTAACCATACAAGTTAAGGCATCTCCGCACACAAGCAAGCATATAAAGTAAACCAGTTCCCTAGGGTTCTCCAAAGACGGCTGTCTGGAAAGGGCTCAAATTACTTTCATGAACGTCTCATTCTAAAACATGCAGATGAGACTGTGGGGCAAGAGATAAACTCCCGTCACACAGATAGACAGATAAAATCATCAAAGTCCAGTAGACACTAATAAGAGGTTCTGGGCTCAGCCACTGGCAAAGCCATCTCGAGAACCCAAGCCACTTACTTCGGTAGAATGACTATTACAGTAGCAGAGGTTCTTACTCAAGAGGATCTCTACACAAAACCCTACCCCAAAATAAGAACATGTCACACAACCTCAATTAACAAAACCTAGTTACTGCTAAACACCACTCAACAACACAAAATATATAAACTAAATTAACCTCAAGACTTCTGATGAGCCAGGGAAACCACATTTTAGGACAATAAACATCGTGTAAGTGATTACACTGTACAACTACATATCACCAAAGCTGCAGCCACTAGTTACACAAAAAGGTCTGGCCTCAGTAACAAATGGCCTCAATAACTGCCTATTTCATTCAAGGATATCAGGAAAAAAACAAACAGACCTCTTGATTAGAAATCGCCTAAGGACAGGTCTAGTCAATACTTCCCAAAAGTCAGAATTTCTTAACCTGGTGATTCAAAAGTTTGGCTGTTTCGGATTACTATGTGAGACAGTCTCTTACGTCAGGGGTCCCCAAACCCGGAGCTGTAGACTGGTATCAGTCTGTGGCCTGTTAGGAACCAGGCCACACAGCAGGAGATGAGCAGTGAACAAGTGAGCAAAACTTAATCTGTATTTGCAGCTGCTTCCCAGTGCTAGCATCACCGCCTCAGCTCCACCTCAGATCCACTTCAGATCATCATTAGATTCTCATATGATCACTGGTCCCTGGTGCCAAAAAGGTTGGGGATCACTGTCTTACATGACATATCACATAATTCCTTCAAAATACCCAAAGAGCAATGTTGGTATCTAGACATTGTATTTAGACATTGTTTAAGTAAATAATTTGAGATATACCTTTCATGCATCTCTTTGGCTTCTCTCTCCTTCCTTTTAATTTCCAGCTCAGCAAAGAGTTTCATAGTCTGTTTATATACTGCTTGCTTAAACTACAAGAAAATAAAGAATGAAAGAAAATTAAAGTAAATGTTTTACCAGCAACTTAAATCAAGTACTTTTAGATGGAGCCCAAGATACAAGCAGATTAGAACTCAGCAAGGAAAAAAGAGTCTTCAAGAGAACCATTTAATGATGCTCTCTTGGGAGATAAATAACAGATCCACCTATGAGATCTTTCTGCCACTTTCACCATGCAGATGATACGTAGAAAATTTACTCACATAAAAGGCACCAATAAGGAAAAAGTTCTACCTGTTTACAATAACCACTTGAGATTTTGGAGGGCCCTTTCCTCCAAGGACCTTGCAAAAATAACCTTCATTCTTTTCACAAATATTTTATAATTATTCTGTGCTAGGCATAGAAATAGGTGCTAGAGATAGGAAGATATTAGCAAGCAGACCACTCTTAGGGGTCTATTGACTGGCAGGGCTACTAGTTGTCGCCTGGTCCACCTCACCTCATTATCTGTTCTCCCTCCATCTAAAATTCCTTACCTTAAAAGCCTGTGTTTCCTAGACTTCCTTGTAGCTAGATATGGCCATGTAATTTAAGTTTTAGCCAACGGGGTATTAGGAAAAGTGATGTAGCAACTTCCTGGAATATTCTTAGAAGAAGCAGGCTTATCCCTCCTTGCCCCCTTTCTCTATTCTGGACTGGAGGCAATATCCGTATTGGCAGAGTCACAAGAATGAGAAGACAGAGTCCTTGGACAATACATGGTCCACAGCTGCCATACCAATGGCCATCTTCCCAAAGACTATTATATAGGTGAGAAAACAAAATTGCTATCTTGTTCAAACCACCAACATTTTGGGTCTCAGATGATGCAGCTGAATTTATATTCTAACTAGTACACTGACAGAAATAGATAACACATTAGATAAAAAAAAAACCAGAACTCCGTCTTTAAAACTTTTTCCCCAAAGTATTTTAAATATACAAAGAAATATAGAAAATTACCCATCATGCAGATTTCATAGGGCCTATATCCTAAAATCAGACACAATGGAGCAGAGAATAATGTGTGAAGATAAAAGAAAGTAAAGGAGTCTCGAATTTTCTCACTTCTTTTAATGCTGTTACCCTGCCAGGCACTGCTCAATGAAAGCGATGCTGACAAAACTCCAGTCTCTAATAAGACAAATATCAAAGGAGTAAAAAATGAGTATCGTTAAAAGCTCTAAACTCTCCTAGATAAAAAGTTATTGGTGATTTTTAATTTTTTATAGTTTTCTGGGTTTTTGATGGCTCAGGTGCATTTTACTGGTTTTATTTTTCTGCTTTTTCCAACTAAAAAAAGTTAGGATTCTTAACAACTTTAAAAGAACCAAGGAGCATTAATAAGAAAGTCTTCAGAAAAGTAGTACTAGAGAGAATAATTAAGACTGAGGAGAAAAAACTAAAATACTGAAACAGAGTAAACCCAAAACAGGTTGCTAGTGGAAAATATGGCCTAACAGTTCTTAAGCAATGTCACCACATGGAAGATGAGATCGGTCACTGTTAGCAAAATCACTGAAGCTAGAGAAGTTGCAAGAAGTTTCCCTAGCAAGAAGGCCTCTCCCCTATAAATCTTTAAAAACAAGTCAGGCACACGGGTAAGTTACATACTTACCTAAATTGAGGCGAGATTATGACTTTAAATTTTTCAGGCTAGTGAGGCAATCAGACATAAACATTGAAGTAGAATCTCTCTCCTAACCTGCCTCCACTAAATAACCCACCAGATTACCCAATGCTCTCCATCACAGCTCTGTAAATTATCACCTGGGGCACGATGAGAACATATGCTGGTAGGCAGCTGTTTAAGAGCCACTTGAGGTCACTCGCACAGCTGTCGGGTGGCAGCTGCAATTACCACTGTACTTACATAATCTGAATATCACAGAAATTGATGAATGTGGTTACGAAAACAAATGTTTGTTGTTTCTTTTAAAACTAAATAGAATGCTTTAGAAAAGAGTCAATGAACACTGAGTCCCTAAAATTAACTGCTGTTGAATTAGGTACAGGTGAGACATCTGGAAAATACTAGAAAAAAATTATAAGTATCTAGGATTTTACTCTGGGTTTGCATGCGTACCTAAATTTTTAACATACGTTAAAAGTGCTAGAAACTATGGATAATGCTTTGTGTGTGTGTTTCATAAAATAAAGTCAACTATAAACTCCAATCAGCTGACACATACTCAAAAGGCCACAGCCCTATGTCAAAAAAGAATGAATTTTTAAAAAGAATGAATGAGTGTAATTTAATATTTCAAATTAAAATAAAATGTTTGTAGCATGTATGCATCATTCTTTAGGCTTCCCTCTCTTTAACCCACCAATCAGTGAACCCAAACACACAAGATAAGGTGACTTTTACCACATTTAACTCACCAGCTCTGGATCATCCTCCTCCACATTTGTAGGTTTTCCTTCCTTCTTTAATTGCTTTTTTCGCTCTTTCACCTAAAAAGAATTTTTTTCATCAGAAAATGAGCACCTGTACTTTGAGACTATCCATTAAGCACCACACATGACATGTGCACTTTTCTCTATGTATGGGTGTAACAAAAAGCCTGCATTGAAAAATGATGAGCCGCTGCCCTCCCATCCAAAACAGCAATGCAATCAAGGAAAACAGGGAACTGGAGTTCTTTCTCTAACCTCACCTAAAAATCCAGTCTATCTGGAAGGATGAAAAGGGACCAGTGAGGAAGCTGTCCCCACCTCACCAAATCCTAGGCCAGATAGAAAGAGCCTTTGATAAATTCAACACATAAGCCATTTATCTTTCACAGCTTGTAGTTACGTGTTTATAGCAAAGAAAATACATTTGTCATGTTTTAGAAAAAGCTACAGAATATGTTAAGTATTGTTTTTCTGGCATTACTACAACTGTATTATTGATCATTTTCACTGCGAAACCCCTATAAACCAATAATTTTCACATCATGCTAATTGGTGTTTTGTTTTTTGGTTTTTTTATCACTTTGGCAACCATTGAGATCCAAAAAAATTAAATATACCCATTTACATAATCATTTGGTGTATTACAGCTGCAAAAAGCCAAGAGCTTTCCAAGCTCAGAAAGGCCCCACTGCCACCTTGTGGTCAGAAAGACTGAAGATGGATGGCTCCTTTACAGATGAAATACACAGAAAGGGTAACTATCACGACCACAATGACTCAAGGACAAATTGTCAGGTAGCTTTCTGATTTTTACCAGAATTGGGCCTACAGGTGCCATTTCCAACACATGACCAGCAGGTCACAGTTATGGCCATCCATCTCCTCTTTGTACTCATTTTCCTCATCTAAATTGGACTCATTATTATTATTGGTTATAAAATCTGTTTCAGATTCCAAAGTTAAAGAAAGGTCACATCCATATTCATTTCCAATTAACATTGCTCTTATAAATGGCCTCAAGATTCTTGCCCCAGCAAGGAAAAAATTAAAGCAACAACCTTTCTTACCTCAAGCAAACCACCTTAACATTTCCCACCACTCAGATTTAGGTAATGCAAATCAAAAAATAACACCAGCTCTAACTAAAATTTATTTCAATTGAGTCCTTCCCTGTTATCACAGACATGTAGCTCCTCCTATTTTTCTAGAACACTTACTCATATCCCCTTGCCAGACTATTTCAAGCCCATGTTCCAACCCCTTCACAGGGACAAGGTAAAAATCAAGGGCCAAGTGTCACCACGGCTATTTTTCCACTCTCATAATGGGGTAATGTGACATGTACAGAGAGGACAAGAAAAGCCCTTTCTCCACAACACAGGACTGGTAAGGAAAGAGGATGGAGCAGTATCCTAGCCACTCCTCATCTTGAGCTTTAGGGGTGAATTATAGCTTTAGGCACACACTATTCATGATCACCACAACAAAGTGCTGGAGACCACATAAGCAGTCACAATCATGCCAGCAGGCATTGCTATGTCAGCATTTACCCTCCTACGACGTGCCCAAGGCTTGCTAATACTTCCTATAAACACAGCGGCACTATAAATACTTACAGTGTGTTCCACGTATTCTTTTCCTGCCTGAATTACATCCAGGGCCCTCTTCTTTTGTTCCTGATCCAGTAGCAACTTGTAAGCTTTGTCCACAGCTAATGCAAAACATTGAAGTTAACTGTTTCTGCAAACACCCTCTGCAAGTCTGAACTATACTCAGTGTAAATGGACTTGTGCCGTCTAAAAGCATTCCCTACTTTGTTAAATTATTTACTGTTGTTAAACTAATTTAAAAATATACAACTATAGCAATGACTTTCCTTGAGAGCCTTGGAAAAAGTTAAATATACACTCAAGGCTAAATATACCACATCTAGATTTAATTCAGTGATAAAATACTGCCAATTATTTTTTTATGTTCTAAGAAAAAAAAAATGATCCTATGCAATAACAGTCTTTGTTGGCACATAAGTTTTAACAAAGTTAAGGTTTATTTCTTAAACAGTAGTATTCTGCTTTGGAATGACAACTGTTCTACTGAAAACCACAACTTCTTCATGACCAGAAGACAAAACTATAACATTCTTTTCTTGATCCAGGACAAGGAACAGTTAGTCCCTAACATTGACAGTATGTTATTCAGAAGCAGGTAAATCTACAAATACCTTCAAAAGCCTTTTGTGCTCTGTCAGCATCATCTTGATTTTTGTCAGGATGCACCAGTATGGACAACTATAAGAGAAAGGTTAGGTTTGTCAATAAAAAGAACATTTATTCTTTGTCTGCACTCTTTACAACCAAAAGCTCTAAGGTACTATGGCAAAAAAGACTGTTAGCCAGAGGCATTTTTTAAAAATTAATATGCCCAGAAATACAAAATTCAAGCACCAAAAGATAAATGCACAACTGGGAAATATTGAGGGTTTTAATCACAAAGTAGAGAATAAATGTAAGCCTAGAATTATGAAGATATTGTGATGACTTGAGAGGGACATTTAAAAGTAGTTGAGTTCCTGTTAGGTTCCTTATTCTGAGCACTAAAGAGGATGAAACAGGTATGAAACATAGTCTATTTCCGAAAAGAACTCCTAATATAAAGCCATGGTTCTCACTGCTAGTTGTGCTCCAATTCTGTGACATTTTAAAAAAAATACAGAGGAGTGCTTTCTACCCTCAGAACTTCTGAATCAGTCTCTGGCATCTGTACTTGTTAAATCTCTACTAGACTGGGAATCAGATAATAGTAAGAAATTCGTGTTAATTTTGTTAGGTGTGATAGAAGTTATGCAAAAAAATGTCCTTTTTTATTTGGGGGGATTCATCCTGAAGTATTTAGGGGTGAAGTACCGTGGCGTCTATAATTTATTTTTCAACAATTCAACCAAAAACATATAGTTAACGAAGCAAACTGTTCCATATAGATGGTGAGTACATGGGAGTTGACTGCTCTACTCTTTCTTTTAAAGATGCATATAACTAAATATTTTTTATGTTAAAATTAAAAAACAAAAAGCTCCACAGGTGATTCTTTCAGACTGCCACAGTTAAGGACTACTGACCTACTGTCATTAACAGACAGAAACCAACTAACTAGAACACAGGAGGCTAAATCCTGCATTACTGAAGACAGAATCTCAGGGTCTAATTCCAACTTCACTCACTACCAGCTGTGAGACCTTGAGCAATTCACTTAACCCGCCTCTGCCTTAGCATCCTCCTCAGTAAGGTGGACAATACTCAGTACCTACATCTCACTGGGTTGTTTTAAGGATAAAATGAAATAACCCAAGTAAAGAACTTAGCATACTGTCTAACACAGACAACAGTTAGCATATAAAGAGAAATAATATATGCCAAGCCCTATTGTACGTGCTTTCTCTGTATTAACTCATTTAAGTCCTTATAACAACCCCAGGAGTAGACATCATCATTCTGTTCATTCCACAATTGAAGTAAGAGGCACAGAAAGGTTGAAAGAAATTAGCCCAAGTTCAAGCTGCTTATAAGAGGTACAACCAAGATCAAAATTCAAGTCATATAGCTCCAGGTTATGTTAACTATTAGGTCATAATAATGGCTAAATAAGAATTCTTATTGAGTTATTTGCATAAGTACGTAAAACATTGTTTTGACTATGGATTTGACTGCTTGCTTATTAAATTGAAAAAGACTGCTAATACATAACATTAGGAAACTTGAAATTTTAGAAAAAGGAAAAAAGCTGAGTATAAGTGCAGAGTAGAACTCAGGAAGAAAAAAATATAGTTATATAATGGGAAATGATTGAGTAGGCAAAGATAAAAAAATCTTGGTTTAATAGTACATCATTAGATGATTATGAATCAGCAACATGGGGGCAATTACTGTATTGAAAAAGCAAGCATAACACTGGATGTTAACAAGTATGCTCTGGGTGGTAATTACACAATAGAAATAGAATATATAGATGTAAAATTATAATGTATATCCGAAAATTATATAATTGTATTAACCAAAATTACCCCAATAAACTTAAAAAAAATAAAAATAAAAATAAAAATAAAACCAAGTATGTCATGCAGGATCTGAGAATATTCAGCATTGATCAAGCCCTTTTGAATATGTAGAACATAAAAGATATAAAGAAACTGGAGAAAGTACAAAAAAAAAAGAAGACATGAAATATGTAGAAAACCCAATTTGCAAAGGCAGATTACAGGAACTCTGATTATTCAACTCACAGAAGGAAAGGCTGGAGAGTTATTCAGGTGTCAAAACTAGAAGGGTCTTTAAAAAGGCTACCATAAAACTTTGTAGCTCAAGTTATTAAACATTAGAACGAACAAGAATCAGAGGTTGTGGATCTCCTCTCCTAGAGAATTTCCAGAAAGCACTCCTTATATTAAACTAGTTATCTCTTGGGTATTCATTTAAATTTGCAAAAGAAAATTGATGAGGAATGGGGTTTTAAGAATTAAAAAACTGCACAAATCATTTAACACGTTCTCTCCTGGAAGCCAGAGGATTAAGTATGACTCCATGTGAAGCTCTACTATTCTACTTTGCACTTCTCCCTCTTAATTAAGGGGCTGGAAAGATTCTATTTGGAATAAAATTCATTCAATTCAGAGGTAAGCTATGGTCATTATTTAATATTTTATGTCACAATGAGGCTTTTTATCTAAAAGTTACATAGCTTTACGTTTAAAAAAAAAAAAAAAAAAAGGTTATATTTTGGCCCAAAAATTGTATGCCAACTTCTAAGAGAATCATCACGTGCTCGCACTTTCAAAAGGTTCAAACTGCATCCATCACAGGGAACTAGGACCATACCTGCCGAAACCTCTTTTTTATTTCTTCATCTGTCACCTCAGGATCTATCTGAAGAACCTGAAAGAATCAAAATCAAAACTGTAATAGAAATTAAAAGAATTTATAAATTTAACACGTACCCAATAATTATACATATTATAAACATCTATAATAGTACTCAGCATTCTGGAACAGTACTTAGCGCACAGTTCTAAAAAATGATCAAGAAATATAAATCAGCAAATCAATAAAATAATAACTATACTGTTTTAGGGTTCTCAATTAATACAGCAGTTACTTTTACCCCATCAGAAAAATAATTTCCCCTATACCCAGAGACATGTTTCCAGACAATGAGAAAATGTTGCATTTCTCCCTCAGTCATTAAGTACCCACCCGCTAAACCCCTACTTATCTTTGCAAGTGTGGAGAAAGCACAGAACTCAACAGGGAAAAAGTTACGCTGGCTACCTAATTTTCACCTCAATCCAAAATGCCCACTTGGCTCTACTTTACATCTATAATTTACATGGCCCAACAGTTCTCAGCCCAGAGTGAACATCAGAATCACCTGTGGAAACCTGTGATCAGTGCGTCCTCCCGGGGCCCTCTCTAGAAAAGTCTGATTCCAAATGGCAGAAACATCTGTATTTTTTTTTTGAGCAACTCTGCCTTAAAAAATAATGTTAATCATTCTTCTCCAAGCCTAGGTATCCTGGTGTTGACATTCCTCATCCAGGATGCTAACCCTATCAACACAAATACAGACATTCATTCAAATATTTACATAGTAGTTACTGCCTGCTGCACACATATACTAGAAATGTAAAGATAAACATGCAAGAGAAACATATTTTTAGTTACCATAAAATAAATGCCTTTTTAGAAGGAGAATGTTATAAGATATACAATTAAAGCAGATGATTTCACAGTGTAGTCCATGGACTCAACACAGCACCTATTATGTTTACTTGATATTCAAGGCCAGAGAAAGGTGTTGAAAGGATAGAGAGTTAGAAGGGTTTATTAGAAATGCAGAAGAGCAGGTCCCCCTTTAGTGTGACTACATCCTAAATCAACACTTTAATAAGATCCCCAGTTGATTTGAATCACATGAAAAGTTTAAGCAGAACTGATACAAAATAATAATTACAGTTAGAAATAACTGCCTTTGAAGCTAGTAGAACTGAGGATCAGTTATTAAGGGGGGTAAAGATAAAAAAATGAAAATAAATCTTGAAATGAAAAATGCATATCAGAGAAATTAAAACTGAAAAGTAATTTGCTAAGCTTAGTCAGATGTTTACAGGGTCTTAGTAATGTCAAGATTTATAGCAAGCTTTCAAAATATTCAAACGGTCCACCTATAACAGTAGGCAATGAAGCTGAATCACCATTGCATTCAACAGACTTTAAGGTTATGACGAGAGCATACCCATTCTCAAATGCTAGGGACACAACTGGGCATGTAGGAGAAGGAAGAACTTCAAAACAAAAAATTTTCAGGAGTCAGTGCACGCCTTCATACCTTCCCAAGGAAGAAAGGCATTGGGAAAAAGTCACTCGAGAGGAAGAATGCAGCCATATAAGATTTACAGATAAAGGGAGATAACTATATGTACATAAATACTCAGAGAAGAACCTTACATACCTTGGTTCTGGTGAAAAGGAATGTATTAGAGCAAACCAAAATCAACAAACCCCAGGTGTAAGCGCGCGCGCTCTGTCTCTCTCTCTGCTGTAAAACCTCTCTCTTTCTCACGCACACACGCACGCACGCGCGCGCGCGCCTCCAATAAAACTAGCCTAGAATTAATCATGCTAAATATAACTTATAAACCTTGATTGGTTCCCAAGTTAAAAAAAAAAAAAAAGCTATAATTGAGGTTTTCGGGGACAATTGGGGCCATTTGCATGTGGACTCTATGCTGGATGATACTGAATTAATGTTTTTCTTAAGTGTGGCAATGGTGTTGTGGTTATGAGGAAATGTGTCCTTGCTGCCATTTGCAACAACATGGATGGACCTCGAGATAATCATGCTAAGCAAAATAAGCCAGACAGAAAAAGTTGAAAATCACATGATATCACTTATATGTGAGATATAAACCTAAAAGGAACAAACGAACAGGACAGAGACTCACGGACATGGACAATAGACTAGTGGTTACCAAAGGGTAGGGGGGTAAGGGGGAGGGAGGAAGTAGATGAGGTAAAGGGGGTCAAATATGTGGTGACAGAAAGAAATCTAACTATGGGAGGTAAACACACAGTGTAAATATATATATGCCTTACTGCTAAAGTGTACAGCTGAAACTTATTGGATTTAGTTAACCAATGTCACCATTTAAAAAATTAATTAATAAAAAAGAAATGTGTCCTTGCTTTTGAAGAGCTGCATGCTAAAGTATTTAGGCATGAAGCATCACAATGTCAGCAGCTTCCTTTCAGATGATTTGGCAAAAGAAGGTATGTATTCATACAAAAATATACACACACCGCCCAAAAGTTATTTTTCCAAGAATTATATCATCATGTACGCTAGCAATAAAATTCGCCGAGTGCCTTCAAAGCTAATCCAACTCCTTTTCTATCTTTAAGAGTTGGCAATGGCCATGAAACACAGTGAAGACAATAGGCCTACACCTGAGGCCCAAAGCTCTTTGAAGCCAGCTTTACACATTCAGTACCAACTTTTAGGACACAAAGGTTGCTAGAAACTGCGCTCACTACTGTTTTCATCAAATTTAAGGTCCAGCAGGGAAGGAATAAACAAGTAATTCTTATGAAAATTATAAATGCCATATCAATATAGCTCCGAGGAAGCACAAAGAATATTCATATCCTTGGAAGGTTTTTCCAAAATTCCTACTGTGTCTCACACTTTAGGGATACTGCAATGAGAAACCCACAGCCCTGGAACACAAAGAGTTAATCATCACAGCAATAAAAATACTTGACTGTGGTATTTATGTAAGTTCCCAAACTCAAATAAACTATAATAGTCTCCTCTTTTCGGGATCTTCTACTTAAAAGAGGAATCCAGTCTTGGATCACACTTGAATTCTCTGAAATGGTAATAATATGCAAGTTTCAGAGTCCTGTGAGATAAACACCTTTTTTCTCAAGGTGCTGAATAAGATAAACAGAAAATAAAGTCTGTGGTACTGCCTGCTGGGGCCTTAAAGTTAAATCAAAAGAAGGAACATGAAAAGGGTACAATCAGGGGCACAGGTTCATCTAAGCTTATAGAAGGAAGCAGGAAGGTCCCTTAACCCCAAAATAATCGTAGAATGCATAAAAAAGATGATTGTAAAACGGCTTAAGATTAGAAATGTGTCCAAATAGACAGCTGTCGAGATGGCAGGAAAGGAAATAATCTGCTCCCTGGAAAAGGATTCCCCGTCTAATTTTTCCCTTTTCTACCTGCTACTCAGTAAAGTGGTGTACAGGAAGATTATTCACATTTCAAGTGATAGCTGAGATGACAACTATTACTGCATTACTTCAACTCATCAGAAAAAGATCAGTCTGTCTACCTCTGTAGAAAAATCTGATTCATTTAGATGTCTCAGTAGTTCTTGCATGAAAAGTCATCATTGATTTCCTAAATTGCTAGAAACACCTAATTCTGACTCGAGTCAAAAAGCAACTTTATAACACCGACTCTATAAAGTGGCCAGCACATTTGTATGAAACAGAAAAGATAAAATTTTAATGGACAATCATGGAGTCCCACCCAAACACAATCTCACACATTCTTGAGTGTGCCAACCTCACCATCTATCTTTATACATCCAAATATACTTCCTATACTCAGAACAGGAGTTATGGAAGTGCAGTTCCACTTCCAAAACCATGGTATGTAGTAGGGCATTAAAATCCTAGCCCTCATACTGGTCCCAACAATCTGTCACTTCTGTCAATCAGATCTCCACAGAAATCTGATTGACAACCTGTCAATCAGATCTCCACAGAAACACTAATTACCTTAACAAATAAATGGCTAAGTTATATGATTACTTGTCCCCCTTTCATGCTCAATTAAAAGTACGACTAAATAGAACATACCATCAAATTCTTTGTTACCTCTCAAATTATCTCCCTTATGTCTTCTCCAAATCATTATTAAAAATACCCTTAAGTTTTTCATCTTCCCCTTTCCTTTCTGAGCAATGTAATCCAAATACATTAGGCAGAGCCGACAAAGTACACATCTGCTCTGGGTGGGGAGTCAAGATGACCCAAGAGCAGGGTGTCACAGCCCACCTGGAATGAAGAAGAGAAGACGGTGACCACACTGGGAATGGTGGCCAGTCACACAGTGAGAAGAGTATCCACATAGAAGGGTAGCCCAATACGGAGTGCCAAAGTGGGTTGAGAGGGCATCCTGGCATAGAGCGTTAGACAGGCAACCTGGCAAAGGTGTTAGAACCTATGCAGGGTGAGACTGGCAACATGGGAGGGTATCCCAATGCAGGGTATGAGATCCCAAGAGGAATGGGGAAGGCATCTCCATGGAAATATAGCCCAACATGGGGTGTTTGAGACCAAGCAGGGCAAGAGTGTCCAGAAGGAGAGGTGGCCTGACACAGGGTACAGGAGCCCAAGCAAGGACATCTCCACCAAAAGGAGTGGAAGCTTCTGCACAGTGAAGTGAGTGCCCATGCAGAAAGGCATCCAATGTAAAAGGACAGCTCAATGCAAGGTGCTGGAGCCCTAGCAGGGTGTAGAGAGCATTTGTGTGAAGTATGGCTGGCACAGAGAGTTGAAATCTAAGCAGAGGGAAGAGGGCCTCCATGCAGGGGGGTGTGCAGTCAAAGCCCAAGTAAGATGAAGAGGGTATTCCCAGAGGAAGGTAGCCTGACACAGGGTGTCAAAGCCACAGCAGGGCAGGAAGGGTGCCTGCTTGGTGGAGAGGATGCTGGAGCCCAAGAGGAATGAAAAGAGCCTCCAGCAGGTGGAGGGCAGGTGCAAGGAAGGAACCAGAGCCAGGTGAAAAACATACCCACATGGAAGGGCGGCCTGGCATGGGAATTTTGAACTCAGGTGTGGAGAGAAGGGTTTTTTTGCACAGTGAGGCAGCCTGGTGTTGGTGTCAGAGGAAAGCAGGGTAAGGGCATTCATTTGAGAAAACTAGCAATGAGAGAACTAGCAACGAGAGATCAGTTGATACAGTAGAATCAATTAAGTAAATATACATTAAAGGTAGTGGGAGCCAGATTTCTCACTAGAAAAGAGAACTATGAACATGGGGGCGGGGAGGGGCTAGAGTAAATCTTATGGTGTTGGATTACAATTGAATGTAAATGCGTGTGTGTGCACACACACAGATAGTCTCTCTCCTCTCCACCCCTGACATTCTTCACTAAAAGGAACCAGGGCTCCTTGATGATTGTTAATTCCAGGCTGGGTCAGGAAAAGTACACAAATGCTTAGTAATCAAAGAATGATGAAGACATATCAAAAAAGATAGGAGCTGGCTTGAAAGGTAACCCACTGGCCAAATTTGGGACAATTTGAGCATCAAAATAAATGATTTCTAAATATAACCCATTGAATAAATTAGGAAACCCCAAGTCCTTACTGACAAATAAATGAATTAATTGAAACTTTGATAAGGACAAGATATTTACAAAGTCTCAAAGTACCTCCCCATAAAAAACTTATTAATTACAAAGGGAAAAAAAGGAACTTTATGAGCAAACCTAGCGGGCACCTATTTAAACAATCAAGTTAACAACATTAGTAAAGCAATAAATCAAAATCACATACCACTTTATAGGTTGTAAAGAGAAGAATGCAATGCAATATGACTTCTGTGATATTCATGACAACATTGCATAAACCAATCCTAACATGAAGAATCATCAGATAAACTCGAGTTGAGAGATACACTACAAAATAACTAGCCTGTAACCTTCAGAAATGTTTTCAAGGTCATGAAAGTCAAGGACAGACTGAGGAACTGTTCCAGACTGAAGGAGACTAAAGAGACATGAAAACTAATATAACAGGAGATTCTGGACTGGATCCTTTTATTATAAAGGTTATTATTGAGACAATTAGCAAATTTGAATGGGGTCTGAGGATTACATGGTAATATTGTATCGATATTCATTTCCTGATTTTGTTGGTTATATTATAGTTCAGTAGGAGAATGTTATTTGTAGGAAAAACATGAGTATTTCAGGGTGATGGGGCATCATTATTGACAACTTAGTCTCAAATAGTTCATGTAAGTGTTCAGAGTGTACTTGCAACCTTTTTACAAATCTGAGATTATTTTTAAATGAAAAAAATTCTTAAAAAAATTACTCTTCAAAAAACAGATAAACCTTAAAAATATTAGGCTAAGTAAAATAAGTCAGACACAAAAAGACAAATATGTATGATTCCACTTATATGAACCACCTAGAAAAGACAAATTCATAAACAGAAAGCAGAATAGAGGTTACCAAGGGCTGGAGAAACGAGGAAGAGGAATGGGGAGTTATTGGAATTTCTATTTAGAATGATGAAAAAAATTCTAAAAACAGATAGTGGTGATGGTTGTACAACACTGTGAACGTACTTAATGTTACTGAACTCTACACCTACAATGGGTTAAATGGTTAATTTTATGCCACAATAAAAGTTTTTTATAAGTGCTCAATAAATGTTATTTTTATAAGCAGTAACAATATTCATTTTAAACTATAACTGTGAACAATTAGAAGCTAGTTTAAATATCCTACAATAAAGGAATTATTTAAATAATAATTACAGTGGCTTTAAAAAATGTATAAAAATATTTTATATAACAATGCAGCATTTAAAATAGCATGAAGAATATGATCTTCTCTGTTTCTAAATAAAACTTTTTTAAAAAACAGTCTAAGTATAGATAGTTAGACGTGGTTATTTCTCTTACGTAGAATTATACATGATTATTTATTCTTGCTTTCTTTATATTTCAAATTTTAATAGTATGATTTACTATAATCAGGAAAAGTGTATAAAACTAAGGAAACCTCAAAAATATATTTGCTTGTCTATAAGCTTATGATCATTTTTTGGTTGTTAGTTTTTTTCATATTTTTTATTGTGATGATACAAAAGTTTTATCAAGCAAATTATACTAAAAAGCCTAAATTTATCAAGGCTAGCTTATCCTTTCATATCTGAAAAATATATCCATATATATTTGGGTTGCTAAAAGATGATGGAATAATTAATAGGGCAAAGACCATCTCACTTTCTATAACATGCTGCCTCTCAAGCTCTGTTCACAATAAACCCACCCAAGTTCAACTCCAACTATGATACAAATTAGGTGTGTGTTCTGATGTAAGTCTACTTTCAACTATGCAAAACTCCCCATCAGCAGGCCACAATGTCAGACAGCTCACCTCAAATGGGTTCAAATTAAAGTAGGAGGAACCAGGACGGGTCAATCTTTCAATCTGATTTTTAGATGTTAGAACTGAATCTCTCTTCTCTATTTGTTTCACCTAAAATAAAAGGGATAGAAACTTCATTAGTAAAGCTCAAATATAAATTCTGAATTGTCATTTTAACAAGTTACTCACTGACATGTTCGGCAAACATTTGTGAGTCTACGTGTGCAAGCTTTTTTGCTAACCACTTTGAACAAATTCATTTAGTGAATTTTTTTAATGCCTATAGCACCTGGTCTTCCTAGGTGGTCTCCCATCCAAGTACTAACCAGGCCCGACCCTGCTTAGCTTCCGAGATCAGACGAGATCGGGCATTTTCAGGGTGGCGTGGCCATAGACGTGAATTTTAATACTGTAAAAACTTTACACAGATTTATTCCCCTCAATGATCCTATACAGTAGATACTACTATTTTCCCCATTTCACAGATAAGGTGAGACTTAGAGACGTTAACTAACTTGCTCCCAATTACCCAACTTGTAAACCAGAATTTTAACCTGAACATTGATTCCAGAGCAGGTATCAAGAAGACTCAAAAAAAAATAAGTCACAGCCACCACCTACAAAGAGCTTCCACTCTAATGATTTAAAATGTACTTACGTGTGTTCATATTTTATTTACAACTTTTTTTAAGGAAAAATACAATTGCACTGAAATATATACTAAAAGCAGCATTTAAAAAGTATGTGGGAGGGCACAAATAACTGCCTACCAAACTCTAAGAGTTAGAAAAATTCCAGACTTGAAGACAAGGCTAAGGAGAACAGACACCAGGCAGTCCCACAAAGACTTCCCTAGTGCCACTGTCAAAGTTGGAATGCTAGTTGAAATGAATGCCTGGTATGTTATTTACCATCTTTATTCCTCTCACCAAACAAGTTTGGAAAGAATTTCAGTAACATTCAGGAAAAAGCCATTCCTTTTCAGCATGTTCCCTCATTGCTTTTTTAAAATAACATGCCACTCCCCCCTCAATACTTTCTATCTTCTTTACCAGATTTATTTTTCCTCATAGCATTTAAATCACTACCTGATATTATATTGTACATCTATCTGTTTATTGTTTATCCTTCTCTATAGGATGCAAACTCTATGAAATGAAGACAGGATTTTTCTCTTTGCTGTTCATTACCATATCTCCAGCACCTAAACAGTATACTAGCACATGTCAGGTACTCAATAAACATTGGTGAAAGGATGATTGAAAAGTCCTTCTTTAGGTACTTTTTCCCATCCAATTCAAACAAACCAGGATAGCTTTTTTTTTTTTTTTAATAATAGTTGGTAAGTGAAATAAGTTCCACTATAATTGCTGAGTAGTCATTGGAAGCCAATAAACTTTGGTACCAGTGTATCAACACTTCCAAGTGAGACATCTGAAAAGGACATACTATGAAGGATGTGCTAATTTCTGTTTTAAAATTCAATACTTTGGAGAAACTACTATGTAACAGGCACTACTTGTAACAAGAAACTACAAATACCAGAGATGAAAGTGATATGCTTTCCTTTGAGTAGCTCACAGCCTGATGGAGAGCAACTCCAGTCCTCAAATCCATGCCAACCTAAGAGCTCCATCTTCAGCTTTACGTCTTAGAGAAATGCTTCTGCTTATGAAACCCTTTCTTATACATTATCTTCATTAACCTTCATAAAAAGTCGTTTTATTAACTCTCGTTTTACAGACATAGAAACTGAAGATCTCCAAAATCAGTGCCTTGAAATAATTCAAGTCAAGTTAACTAACTGCCTTGCGCTAATCCAATCTGAGGTCCTGATTCCAAATGGCATGCTTTTCTTTCATTTACTCATTCATTAATGTACTTAACAAATACTTACTAACCACTACGTAGTAGGAGCTGGAAATGCCATAGTAAACGAGGCTCTGAACAAATTTATTCCCGTCCTAACACAATACCAAGCTATTACCTGATGTAAGACGCAGAACAAATTATTTCATCAGCTAAACCTCCATATAAAGGTTTGTCACCTTTATATGGAGATGATGCCTACCTAGCATAATGCACAGTGCCTGGCATTCGCGAATGGCAGAAATAACCACTAATACAACTCATCACAGAGGACTAAGTAGAAAGTCCTTCCGTTCAGAATATAAACGGGGGCCAAGACGGTTAAGTCGAGCCCAAGAAGGCCGGCCTAAGCCAGCCCTCGACTCCGCGGACTTGGGGAACTCTGCGCGCGCCCAGGTACTTCGTTGGCCACACTCGCCATCTACCCGCAGACGTCGGACCCCGGCCTCTTTTTCGTCGCCCAGGGGATACCCCCAGAAGCTATCAGACACACACATACATACACATACACACACACACACACACACACACACACACGGCCTCTTTTCGTTGCCCAGGGGCT